ATTAATAGTTCTAAAAGTTCTCCAACCATTAGTCAGAAGTGTATGTAGTTGTTGCTTAGCCACTTGTACCGTGTGTGCATAATTCAATCCGGTTTACTGTTTGATATTGCCCAGATAATTTTGGAACAAAACTTTTGAGTAATTTGGCCCTCCGTATTTTAGTACATCAAGTTAAACTCAATAAAAAAATATATATGTTGCCTTGGAAACTAGCTGAAATAAATATGATTTTATTTTATTTCAAATAACTCTTATTTTATTTCAAGTAACAAATGTTTATGGATTTTTACATGTTTATTAAATTTTATGTCAGTTTCAGTTTTAGTTATTTTAGTACTTCAACTTAAACTAAATGAAAATGAGAAATGTTGCCCTGGCAACTTGCTAAAATTTCAAAATAAATAAACGTTTTACGTATGTATGTATTAGGGCTGTCCCATAATAGTCGACTAAACGTTAGTCGACGAAAACAGGCTTGGTCGACCAAAATGTTATCCGTACGAAGTGGCGAAATCAAGCAGTTTGTGACAGACAAATCGTTTACGGCTGGTCTATGTGGTAATATGGTACATCGGGCAGGACATCCATACGCTCACCTAACATTCATCGAACCTTAAATATGGCTTATTTGAAAAATGTATGTACTTTACATGGCAGCTCAATCTAATATTAGCCTAGAAAAAAGTGCGCTGTTCACGTGTTTTTGCGAAGTGTGGAAGCTGAACAGTAGCACGAGCGCTTGGGCTACTGCATAACAGATGGAGGTGCCACTGTGATCGGTTGCTCTTAAAATACTTGGTCATTTTTGGTCATACAAATAAGAGTAATGCATCTTTTCCTATCTGTAAAGACTCAATAAAGTTTATTCGCGTGCACTCAGAATAACAACGAAACGTTGCGCTTTTGTAAAATAAAGCAAACGATGCGCTTTCTGCCGTCTCAGACTCTGTGAACTTGAGCGCGTCACTTCGAAACTCCATGTATTCTTGCCTTATTATTACAGACATGAAAATATATCTATAGAGAGTGAAACTTTTAAATGATCCGATTCAAATAGAAACCAAATATTCTCCAATTATGTAATCCGTATGAAACATGCATACAGGCGTATCCACTACTGCGGAGATGATGAGTCTGTGTTGCCGACTTCATGTCTTAAACCGAAAACAGAAAGCACTAGTTTATCAATAAATTATTAAAACGTTAATGCAGTGTACTTGCTGTTTTTTGCTAACACATTCATAATTATTATATTTGCCGGTGCGCTGTAGCAGGCCTTTTTTGCATGCGCTTGAGCGCTTATTAGGCTATGTAGGCAATTAAAGGTTCATTATTATGATGGTTTATTAATAAAAGTGCGACTAATAGTCGACTAATGCTTAAAATGAACAACTACTAGTCGACCAGAAAAATCTTTAGTCGAGGGCAGCCCTAGTATACTGTATATATATATAATTTTTTTATTTATATTTTATTTTTTTTATTTTTTTCAAGTAAGGATTATGTTTTTTATGGTCATATATTTTTTTAAATATCTATATAGTGTTTATTAATTTTTATTTAGATTTTGTTTAATGAAGTTCATGAAGCTAAATAAAAATGAGAAATGTTGCCTTGGCAGTTAGCTGAATTAAAGTTTTTTTTATACAGTATATATTTTATTTTATTTCAGGTAATGAAAATGTTCTGCTCTTTCTAACTCGGCAGGCTAACGGTTTGTGTCCGCTGCATTTGGCTGCTGCTGGCGGTCATACGGAGGTGGTGAAAGTTCTTCTGGACGCTGGAGCATCAGTGACGGAGGAGGACGCCGTGAGTTAGAAAGACAAAATGTGACAAAGAACATTTTAACATGATAAAGAACAATGATAATGTCTTAATAGTGCAATAGTGCAACTGTACATTGACCTTTGATCCTTTCAGGAGGGCATGACACCCATACATTTGGCTGCCAAGAATGGACACACTCATATTCTGGAGGTGCTGAAAGGCAGCGTTTCACTGAAGATCCAGAGCTCCAAGGTGCTTCATGTGAACACATGACCTCTGCTTACAAAGAGCAGAACAAAACTGTGCTGTAACATTTCAGTGTTAGTGAACCGTGTGTGTGTGTGTGTGTGTGTGTGTGTGTAGACGGGTTTAACGGCTCTGCATGTGGCAGCCTGTTTCGGACAGGTGGACTTTGTGAGAGAAATCCTGAATGAAGTTCCAGCTACAATACGCAGTGAATTTCCCACCAACAGCAGCGGCGTCAAAGACGACATGAAGAGACAACTGCCGTTAGCTGAGGTGACACGACACACTGAGATACACTGCAGAACATGGCTATTAGAAAACAAGGCATTTTTAGTCATTTCAATCATTTGGGGGATGCTCGCTTTGCATTGCAGCTTTACATTTTGTTTATGTGTTTTGTTGTCACTGGGAATCAAACCCATGAGTGTTGTTATTGTCATTCTAATAACGCGGATTCATTTGTACAGTTTTTTTTTTTAATAAAGAAAAAGGGAAAAGGTTATTGAACTCACTGAAATGTAAAATCCAAATGTAAACATTTTTTTTAAATAAATGCATGTCTACACAGTTCCAAATCCTGTATAACATAAAATAATAAAAACAAATTATTATAAAAGTGTATATTTTCTTATATGTTTGTTATATATTCATATTTATTAATATTTTTATTAATCAGTTCATGATTATATATTTATAATTTAATGTTTAAAACATTTTTCCATTATTTAAAATGATTGTGTGTGTGTGTTCAGTACATTTACACTTTTTACAAAGAAAAGTAAAAATAGAAATATAACTCATAACTCCTAATTGAGCTATCCAGCTAACTTTTTACAGACTAAATGTTATAGTTTATTCTAAATAAATTGTATAACTGCTTCCAATTCTGTATAAAGACCCAGTGCAGCAGTAAAATATTATAAAATGTGTATAATACTTTTATATTTATATTATTTATTTATTGTATTATAATAATTATTCATATTGTAGTTCATCAATTTATAATTAAATATATAATACATGTAATATAAATAATATATTTATACTTTTATATTTAAAATATGAAAACATTAATTTCATAATATTATTTCCTGTGTACAGTAAATGCATTTATGTCACCTCCATACAGTGCATAAATGCACTTTTTCATTCTGTATTTGAAACTTCTTCCACCTTTGCTGTGCAAAGGATATTCAAGATATATTCTCTCAATGTAAGTCTTGATATCTTAAGGTAATTTAGATTTTACTGAAACAAAAGCCACAATGTACATATTAGTGATTATGAATCATCAGTGCATGATTTATTATTGTTTGTGTGTGTGTTCAGTCAGGTTACACTCCTCTGCACCTGGCGGCTCAGTCCGGTCATGAGAACATGGTTCGCTTGTTGCTGATGTAAACTTAGAATTCAGACAAAAAGATGAAATTGTGAGATATAAATATAGAATTATGAGAAAAAAACATTAGAATTGTGAGATGTAAACTTAGAATTCAGACAAAAAGATGAAATTGTGAGATATAAATATAGAATTATGAGAAAAAAACATTAGAATTGTGATATATAAACGTAGAATTCGGAGGAAAAAAGTCAAAATTGTGAGATGCAAATTTAGAATTCTGAGAAAAAGAAAACATTAGAATTGTGAAATGTAAACTCAAAATTCTGAGGAAAAAAGTCAGAATTGTGAGATATAAACTCGCAGTTACAAGTTTATAGCTTGCAAATGCAAGATTTGCAAGGAAAAAAGAATTGCGACTTTATTTTTTATTCTTTGCCGAACACAAGCTTCCCCAGTAACATGCAAATGATCTCTAATGAAAAGCAACTCCTACCTGCACGTCTGCAGAGAACCTTGATGGAGTAGAACAGGTTGGTGAACAGGTTGAACGGAGACGGAATTCCAGACTTGCGGCTCATATCGTGGATCAGAACGGCGCGGCCAAACTTCCACTCCGTGTCGGACTGAGCCTGGATGCGCTGGTATGTGTCGCTCATCATGGCGATGAGGAGGTTGATCAACATGATGGACGTCACCACCAGATACACACCAAATACCATTTTAGCCAAAACAGCCGTGGCAGCAGGCGAATGCTCCACTTCGGGAATTTTATCCGGTTCGGTTAAACCAAACAAAGCGAAGAAGAGCAGCACAGACATGTTTAAAGGACCCGGAATGGTCACTTGCGTGGCGTTACCGGTGCTGTTGTCCCAATCTTGTGGATACAGCGGCTGACACAAAGCGGTGAGACTCAGCGTGAAGGCAGTGTGGAACAACATGAGGATCACAGCGAACCAAGACAGATCCTTCATCAAGTCTCGGATGATTACGGCCCACGGGCCGAATAAGTGATGGAACGTGAGGAACTCCAGTAGTTGGATGAATCCCAGTGTCATCGCCATGGCCAGCAGGACGTTCCGGGCGAACAGGCAGTGCAGGTGCGCCGGTGGCCACCATTGGGTGAAAACCGCGAGCAGGTGGCACAGCAGAGCCACGGCGGAAAAACCCAGGAGAAGAAGACGAATCCACGCTAAACCAGCACGCTCACCTGGGATGGTCAGCTCGGACACCAGCATCCCACAGAGCCAGATCAGCAACAGACACTCCGACCAGCCGGGCACCAGACGGCCCTCAGACAGAGGACTCATGGGCGGATACACAATCGTCAGGATGAACAGGGCCAACAGGAAGATGTGCGACACCAGGTGACTCATGAACTTCTCGATTGGGATAGTGTTGAAGCTGAGTGGAGATTAAAACAATCAGTTACACACATTTCTCCTCAACCGAGACACACTGGCAGTAAAAAGTTTGGATACATGTGACTGAATTTATGTTTCTTAAAACCTTTTTGATCTAAAGGCCAGTGTTGCTGTTGTTTACTTAAATTAAAACGATTAGAATTGTTTTTGTTAATTGAAATAAAGAAATAATAAAATAAAACGCAAATATTAGATTAAAAACAAACTTAAAATAAAATTTGAAATGTTGCCATGGAAACTAATTGAAAAAAAAAGAACTAAAATTGAAATAAAAATACATTTAAGCTGAATAGAAATATGAAAAAAATAAGAAAAATGACAAAAGCACATAACAAATGAAACCTGACAATATAAAACAAAAGCTAATTTATTAAAATATGAATAATTACTATAATAGTTTATAAATTAGACAAATTGATCTAGAGGCCAGTGTTGTTATTGTTAACTAAAACTTTTTAAATGGTTTTCATTCATTGAAATATGGATAAAATAAAATATAAATACTAGATGAAAAATTAGAAATGTCGCCTTGGCAACTAAAATTACTGAAACTAAATCTGAAATAAAAAGAATAATTTTTAAGCTAAATGGAAATATAAAAAACTAAAAGGAATAAAAAGGACAAAAGCACATTAAGAAATTATTTATACTAAAATTAAAATTAAAACAAATGAAATTAAAATGAAAATTTTACATTTATGATGTTTATAATGTTACAAAATATTTATATTTGAACTAAATGCTGTTCTTTTGAACTTTCTATTAATCAAAGAAATGATTCTTGAGCAGCAAATCAGCATATTAGAATGATTTCTGAAGGATCATGTGACACTGAAGACTGAAGTAATGATGCTGAAAATTGCACTAATCTTTCACAATATTACTGTCTTTCCTGTATTTTTGATCAAATAATTGTAGCCTGGGTGAGAAGTTTACTGTGTCAGACCGTACCTGTGTCTGTGTGGCAGTGAGAGCGCCAGCCACAGCGGAGGGAAGAGCAGCAAACAGAAGAACAGCAGAAGGATCTTCCATGAATCCCACTGCAGGCTTCCGTGCCACATGTCCGTCAGGTATGTCTGCACCGCCGGATGGGACACCACACCCTTCTGCCGGCCCTCGATCAGGCAGTCCAACACGCTGGCACCCCGGTGGTCCACAGCCCTGAGGATCGGACCCGCGCGTGACCCCCGGCTGAGGCGGCGAAGGTCAGGAGGTCAGAGGCCATGAGCTCACAGTGACACGCGGCGGCGTGCAGGTCGACAGAGCGCTCCTTCTCTCTGAGCGCGGCCAGAGTCAGAGCTCGCGACAGATGGATGCACGTGTCCAGAGGAGCAGGAGAATGAAGAACCAACTCCTCCAGAGCCAGATTATCATTCATCCGGCCGCACACCATCAGACTGAACACAAACTACAGACAACACACAAAACAAAACATGCTAAAGGATTCAATTTGAATTTTGTTTATTTTCAGCAGAACAAGGCACTTAAAGGGATAGTTCACCCAAAAATTAAAATTACCCTATGATTTACTCACCCTCAAGCCATCTTAAGTGTATATGACTTTCTTCTTGCAGACGAATACAATCTTAGTTATATTAAAAAATGTCCTGGCTCTTCCAAGCTTTATAATGGCAGTGAATGGGTGTTGAGATTTTGAAGCCAAAAAATAGTACTCCACACGGCTCCAGGGGGTTAATAAAGGCCTTCTGAAGTGAAGTGATGCGTTTGTGTAAGAAAAATATCCATATTTAAACATTTATAAACCATAATCTCTAGCTTCCGCTAACTGTCGTATGCGCGTTCACGAGAGAGTGGCATCCAGTGGATGATGTAGGAACGTATGCGTAGCGTAAGCTCCGGTGAGAAGTGATGGACATGGAACGCAGAGGAGAGAGCAAAACAAAACACCGGTCACAAATTAGAAGTACAAAACGAGGATTTGTAAAGAAAAATGTCAGGATTTCGATATAAGCCAAGAGGAGACTGGTTTTCCTTTTCTGTAAACAAAACTTGTTTCTCGCGAGACTAGCATATTCTCGCCGGAGTTTACGCTACGCCTACTTCATCCTCTGGACACCACTCTCTCGTGAACACGCATACGACAGTTAGCGGAAGTTAGAGATTACGGTTTATAAAGTTTTAAATATGGATATTTTTCTTACACAAAAGCATCAATTCGCTTTCAGAAAGTCTTTATTAACCCCCTGGAGCCGTGTGGAGCACTCTTCATGATGAATGGATGCACTTTTTTGGGCTTCAAAATCTGGACCCCCACTCAATGCCATTTATAAAGCTTGGAAGAGCCAGGACATTTTTTAATATAACTAAGATTGTATTCGTCTGCAAGAAGAAAGTCATATACACTTAAGATGGCTTGAGGGTGAGTAAATCATAGGGTAATTTTAATTTTTGGGTGAACTATCCCTTTAAGTGCCTTGTTCTGCTGAAAATAAACAAAATTCAAATTGAATCCTTTAGCATGTTTTGTTTTGTGTGTTGTCTGTAGTTTGTGTTCAGTCTGATGGTGTGCGGCCGGATGAATGATAATCTGGCTCTGGAGGAGTTGGTTCTTCATTCTCCTGCTCCTCTGGACACGTGCATCCATCTGTCGCGAGCTCTGACTCTGGCCGCGCTCAGAGAGAAGGAGCGCTCTGTCGACCTGCACGCCGCCGCGTGTCACTGTGAGCTCATGGCCTCTGACCTCCTGACCTTCGCCGCCTCAGCCGGGGGTCACGCGCGGGTCCGATCCTCAGGGCTGTGGACCACCGGGGTGCCAGCG